TAGAAAAAGCTTTTCTCAAGCCTGGGTGAGAAGGATGCACTTATAGATTTTTAAGCCACAGAAGACATGGCAAAAGAAGAAGATTAATGGATGTGATTATTTTAAATTGCGAACCTCGAACCAAAGAGGTTATCCTGTGACTGAGAGGGAAGCAGCAAGCTGGGAAAACTCTCAGCGGACGACCACGCACAGTACCGTCAAGGTGCTGAGAGAAAACAACTCTGCAGCACGCATTCCTTCCCTGCTAGAGCTTCCCAAAAAGGAAGGGGGAAGCCCGGCCAGTGTGGCCCACTGGTTGAGCGTCGACCCTGCACCAAGAGGTCGCTGGTTCAATTCCTAGTCAGGGCACGTGCCCAGGTTGTGGGCCCGATCCCCAGTGGGGTGCACGCAGGAGGCGGCCAGTCGATGTTCTCTCTCATCCACGTTTCTCTCATTCTCTCCCTCTCCCTTCCTCTTGCTCTAAAAAATCAATAAAGGAAAAAATTAAAAATAAAATAAAACAAAGACTGGACGTACCACTCACAGGGCCTCGCTAGGAGGCCACCCAAAGGAGATGCTTCGGGAAGTGGAATCCAGAAGGGGAGAGTGGGCGCACACGAGCTGGTAACCGTGAGAACACCTGAACAAGCGCACCCCGCATCACAGCACAACAGCGACGGATCCAGGCCCTGTCCACACGAGGTGGGCACAGCGCCAGGCCCAGGTGCGTGCAAGTCAGAGGGGCTTTTTCCGTTCATGACAGAAGGAATATGGGTTAACTTCAGGCTTTATAGTCTTAGAACACATGCTAAAAATGTTCGGGTGATCTCTACCAGAATAGAAAAATAAATATGTAAGGCTCTAGGCAGTGGAGGGAAGAAAGAGCGATAAAGAAAACTCAGACCGAAGCAAACATGGTTGAGAGGGAAATAAGAGACCAGCTGATTAACTAAGACAGAGTACAGATAAAGTGGTGGGGGAGATCCCAGACAGCCATCACAATAAACGAAAACAATGAACGTCACTGGTGAAGAGGCAAAGATGTTCATTTTGGAGTTTTGAAAAACAGATGTATGCTATTTTATAAGAAACACATCTAAAACATGACAACCCAAGAGTGAAAAGAGAAGTCGGGGAAAGATACACCTGATAAATACTAACCAGAAGCTGTCATGGGTGTTCTCACATCAGGTAAGACAGCCCGGCTAGAGTGGCTCAGGTGGTTGGAGTACTGTGCCGCGCGCCGGGAGGTTTGGGGTCAACCCCAGCCGGGCCGGGTGCACACAGAAGACAACCCATCGATGTTTCTCTCTCCCTTCCTCTCTAAGCATGTGCTCAGCTGAGGATTAAAATATAAAATAAGCAGGGTGTCCCAGAAAAAAAATCTATACAGGGTGTCTGTAGATCCTTGTATTACATTTTGAAAATGAAATGTATTTTAATAAACACTGGCTTTATAATTATTACGGTTGTGTACTCATTTCTGGGGGGACACCATATATATGTGTGTGTGTGTATATATGTGTGTGTGTGTGTGTGTGTGTGTGTGTATATATATATATATATATATATCAGGTAAGGTAGACCATACAAGTCAGAGGGGTAAAATGTGTCTATATAATCATAAAGGGATCAGCTGATTAGGAAGATAGGACAAATCTTTATGTCCAGGGGACAAACCTGATCTATAACTCATACTATTAGCCCCTGGGTGTTCACCTTGTCCCCTGGACCCTGTTCCACCGGGAATTCTAGGTGAACCGGTCAAGAGCATGACTCAGAAAACTCCGGGTCCCTGGCTAGGACAGGTGATCCCGACAGCACAGCACAGCACTGGCCGCCCACGGCTTCTGTCACAGTCTGCTCGGCCGCCGCGCCGCCGCTCTCACAAGCCACGCTGCTGGGACTATCTTTTATCTCTCCGTGCTGAGCACCTCCCACAATGTCTGGCAGAGAGAAGCACTCAATATGTATCCATTCCACTTATAATTTGGGAGCCTACGAAGGCAATATGAAGAATGTCTGTAATATGCGTTCCTATTTAAAAAGCGCAATATAAAACCGCAGACACGCTTGGATTACGAGTATGTAAACATTATGTATGTATGTGGGGACAAAGCAGAAGAGAATGTGGGAAAATGAAAACAGTAAATTTGTTACGTGAGGTGGATGGTGACTTTTTGTTTTTGATTTTTCTCACTGCTATTAAATTATTATTTGTATAATTTTTAAAATGAAATAAAAAGAAATGTCTATATAACTTTGGGTTATCCAAGCAAGTAATCCCTAAAAAATGTCACATTGTGTTGTCAGGACGATAAAGCTGCTCGCTGAGCCACAGACATAGTTACTCCTCGGGCCACGTCGTGCCTTCCACGGAAGGAGCCACGTGGTCACCCGGGTGACCCGGAACACACCGTGTACTGAGAAGGCGAGCGCACAGTGGGAAGTGGACCAGCGGGTCCAGCTTGGCACCCCTTTTCCTTTGCCTCCCCTCATGCCCCTCCTTCCTAGGTGGCCCCGGGGCGCCCAGCAACTGCGGTTTCAGAGGACACTCTTTCCATTAGCCTTAACCCGACCTCCCCCGAGAAAAGCTTCCGAGTCCTGGACAGAACACCAGGTCCAGTAGAGACAGCATTCCTCACCCAGGGTCGGGCTACATGCGCCGTTTCTACCTGACAGGCAACAGGGGCCCTGGCTGGGGACGAGGTGCACCCGAGACGCCTGGAGCACTGTTACCAGAGAGCAAGAGAGCTACCCGGCCCCGAGGGTCCCATCGGCGGGCTCGGGGCCCAACACCCAAGGCTCCTCTGGGCCGAGATGGAACAGGTTGGGTATCAATGAGGACAGCAACTGCAGTGAATTGGAACACACATTCACATCCGTGAATTCATAATATTTTTCAGAAAAATCGCTCCCTGTTCACTTTGGGAGGGTGCTAGGAAGCCGATGCATTTTGAAAAGTAGTAAGTGACAGGAAGAATGAGGGCACCCTGCTTTCCTTGTGCCAGGGGTGACCCATTGTCACCGAACCTCCGGAGAGCGGACGTTTTCACGGCAGAAGCCTCCCGACCGATGAAGGCAGAAATGACGCACTGGAACCCCCCTCAACAACCTCCACTGGACAACTGGACATCGGTCCGGCCAGCAAGGCTGCAAACATCTCGGAAGACAGGGACCAGTCCATGACGGCGTATTCTTGCCCACAAACTGAACGCGGGTCTGTAGACCTATCAATTTAGGGGCGGGGTTGGGGGAGGGAGCCAGGAGACCATATTGAACGTCACTGTGGGTTGCGATCCACTGGTCCGATTTGTGTCCTAAGAAACTCCTGGTAACAAACAATGCGGACTTCACATGATTGACAGATGGACAGAGGCCTCGAGATTACAAAACAATTGTGGTAAATCAATCCAGTGAAATAAGGTCAAATAGACCTTGTTTGAATCCAGAGTCAAATATATTACAAAAGAAAATATGAGACGATCAGTTAAATTTGAACGCTGAGTGGATATTTATTATTATCATCGATGATTCTACGAGGTGTGAAAATGGTATTTTTACCGTTTTTAAAAAAAGTTCTTATCCTTTAGAGACACACAGTGAGATCTTTTCAGTGACATATGATGTCTATTTGTTTCAAAAATATCTGGGGTGGAGGGGAAATGCTCAGGGACATACAGGAAACATCTGGGGTGGAGGGGGATGCTCAGGGACGTACAGGAAACATCTGGGGTGGAGGGGGATGCTCAGGGACGTACAGGAAACATCTGGGGTGGAGGGGGATGCTCAGGGACGTACAGGAAACATCTGGCGTGGAGGGGGATGCTCAGGGACGTACAGGAAACATCTGGGCTGGAGGGGGATGCTCAGGGACGTACAGGAAACATCTGGGGTGGAGGGGGATGCTCAGGGACGTACAGGAAACATCTGGGGTGGAGGGGGGATGCTCAGGGACGTACAGGAAACATCTGGCGTGGAGGGGGATGCTCAGGGACGTACAGGAAACATCTGGGATGGAGGGGGATGCTCAGGGACGTACAGGAAACATCTGGGCTGGAGGGGGATGCTCAGGGACGTACAGGAAACATCTGGGGTGGAGGGGGATGCTCAGGGACGTACAGGAAACATCTGGGATGGAGGGGGATGCTCAGGGATGTACAGGAAACATCTGGGATGGAGGGGGATGCTCAGGGACGTACAGGAAACATCTGGGGTGGAGGGGGGATGCTCAGGGACGTACAGGAAACATCTGGGGTGGAGGGGGATGCTCAGGGACGTACAGGAAACATCTGGCGTGGAGGGGGATGCTCAGGGACGTACAGGAAACATCTGGGCTGGAGGGGGATGCTCAGGGACGTACAGGAAACATCTGGGGTGGAGGGGGATGCTCAGGGACGTACAGGAAACATCTGGGGTGGAGGGGGGATGCTCAGGGACGTACAGGAAACATCTGGCGTGGAGGGGGATGCTCAGGGACGTACAGGAAACATCTGGGATGGAGGGGGATGCTCAGGGACGTACAGGAAACATCTGGGGTGGAGGGGGATGCTCAGGGACGTACAGGAAACATCTGGGGTGGAGGGGGATGCTCAGGGACGTACAGGAAACATCTGGGATGGAGGGGGATGCTCAGGGATGTACAGGAAACATCTGGGATGGAGGGGGATGCTCAGGGACGTACAGGAAACATCTGGGGTGGAGGGGGGATGCTCAGGGACGTACAGGAAACATCTGGGGTGGAGGGGGGATGCTCAGGGACGTACAGGAAACATCTGGGGTGGGGGGGGGATGCTCAGGGACGTACAGGAAGTGCTGGGCCACGAGCTCAATGTTGGAGCCAGGTAGTGGGTACCTTGGTGCGTTCGTTCTCTTATTCTCTTTACTTCTGCACGTGTTTGAAATTTTCAATAGCAAAAAGTCCAAAACATTAATAAAAAATTAAGGGAGCTGTTCCTTATCCTCGTGGTTGACGTTTGGGAGGGGAAAAAAAAATGTCGAGGAAACAATGGGACTCTTACCTTTTCATTAACTGGATGAAAGTTCTTCTTGGTAATCGGTGTACAAAGGTGTCGAGGACGACCTTGAGGTAGTTCAAAGAGATGTATCCACATTTGGAGGGGTCCCCGGCACTCAGGGCTTTTTCGACCATTTCGTGGGACTTTGAAAGCTGCAAGGAATTCAAATCAGAGTGTTGCATTCATAGACATCAACTTCACGGAGCTATTCAACCGTGTTATTTTTGCTGAAACCTCTTCACATTTTCCTCTCCAAAAACTGATCAAAAAGGTGACGATGGCATGTACTGAACTTCAAATGTTTAATTGATGAGCTCCCCCTACACGGTATCCCCAGCCACAGAGACTCAGCTGGTGAGGCAGACAAGTTTCTCAGGGAAGAACCAGCACAGAGCATAGCTGCACCTAAACTTCAGAGCTGCGGATGCTCGCTGGATCTGCCAGTTTGATACATCTTATTTAATATACTTGGGAGCCGTCCCCCGCTGTGAGCCCACCCTCCGCTCCTCCTGATTAAGTCGGGTCCATCAAACAGACAGTGGCAATGTTTTATTAAAATACAAGTAGCTTTTATAGTAAGGGAAATTATCACTATAAGGACTGCATAAACAGTACACATTGGGCATTTCTTTCTTCTTCCTTTTAATGGGGAAATCACAAAGAACTGGGGTGCACGCGCTCCACTTATGGGACTTCTAAAACGCAGTGAAGTAGGTTAACCACTGGTTTTTTATATGACTCATAAAAGTACTATGAAGATTGGTTTTATTTCCAAAGGTTTTCCTGCTGTTTGTTATTGAGTAATAACAATATTCTCCAATATTTCCAACCCTCTCCAGTTTGTCTGATTTCAGGTTTTCCTGCTAACTGGGGTAAGAAGATAAACAAACCAGCCACCAACTAGGTATAAAAGGTGACTTTTTAAAAAAGCTACTGGAACATGGAAATATATGTACACGAGTCTCTAGCCACAAAAGAATATGAAGAAGACCCATTAAAACTCTTCAGAGTGTCCAGGAATGGTGGGAACCTATGAGAAAATCTTTGAAAATATTTAGAGAATCACAGAGCCTAAGCTTCTTGGAAAGTTGCATGAAATTAACCCAAAATGTGGCTAAATTTGCACATCTCTCTTTTGGGAGGCGAGGTGCCTGGGGAAGACTTGGAGGAGAGAAGCCAGAGCCAGATGGAGTCGGGCCTCGGTGTGTCCCTGAAATACCCTCTTAACTTCTTACTGACATTTGGTCTCCAGTAAGGTTAGGTTTAGGAAAGGGTTTCTGAAATCTGAGTTTTACAAAAGGGGCAGGGAGTGAAACAGAAACAGTATCTTTGTGACATGCATAACCCTTTGGGAATTTGCACTGTCACTGTTTATAACGGAACAAAGAGGAAGATGAGAGCAACCGGGCAGCCACGGAAACAAAGAGGAAGATGAGAGCAACCGGGCAGCCACGGAAACAAAGAGGAAGATGAGAGCAACCGGGCAGCCACGGAAACAAAGAGGAAGATGAGAGCAACCGGGCAGCCACGGAAACAAAGGTGAAGATGAGAGCAACCGGGCAGCCACGGAACAAAGAGGAAGATGAGAGCAACCGGGCAGCCACGGAAACAAAGGTGAAGATGAGAGCAACCGGGCAGCCACGGAAGGACACGGACGCCGGGAAGCCCCACTGCCCAGTGTTCCGGAGCGTCCCCAACTGCGCCTCATGATCACACAGACACACACAGCGATTTCGTTAAGTGGGACCTTAATAAACTTAACACCTCTGACAGACGCTTTTTCACTTAACATGTCCTGAAATGTTTCCATAGGAACTAGCACGTATCTGCATTGCGCTTTTATTTATTTATTATTATTTTAAATATGTTTTTATGGATTTTTTAGAGAGAGAGGAAGGCAGAGAGAGACAGAATTGATGTGAGAGACAGCAATCGGCTGCCTCCTGCACGCCCCCCACTGGGGATCAAGCCGAAAACCCGGGCATGTGCCCTGACTGGGAATCGAATTGGGACCAGTCCATGGGACAACGCTCAGTCCACTGAGCCACACTGGCTGGGCTACATTGCACTTTTTTTTTTTTATCCTCACTTTAGGACATTTCTCACCTTAGGACATTTTTTGTTTGTTTTTTGTTCAGATAGAGTGGGAGGGAGAGAGAGAAACATCGACGTGAAAGGGACACATCGAGTGGCTGCCTCCCGCACGACCAACCAGGGCCAGGGACAGACTGCAACCGAGGTATGTGCCCTTAGCGGGAACCGAACCCGGGTCTCTCTGGACCGCAGGCCGACGCTCTAACCTCTGAGCCAAGCTGGCCAGGGCTGCATTGCACTTTTATTTATTTATTTTAATCCTCACCCGAGGACATTTTTGCATTAATCTGCAGATAGAGCAGGAGGGAGAGAGGAAGAGAGAGAGAGAAACATCGATGTGAAACAGACACATTGACTGGTTGCCACCCACACGACCCCAACTGTGGCTGGGGACAAAGTGCAACTGAGGTACATGCCCTTAGCGGGAACTGAACCCAGGACTCTCTGGTCCGCGGGCTGACGCTCTAACCGCTGAGCCAAACCGGCCAGGGCTGCATTGCACTTTTTTAAAATTTATTTTATTTTTTTTTTATCTTCACCCGAGGACATTTTTCCATTTTTTGTTCAGATAGAGTGGGAGGGAGAGAGAGAGAGAGAAACATCTATGTGACAGAGCCACATCGAATGGTTGCCACCCGCACGACCCAACCAGGGCTGGGGACAAACTGCAACCGAGGTACGTGCCCTTAGCGGGAACCGAACCCGGGTCTCTCTGGACCGCAGGCCGACGCTCTAACCGCTGAGCCAAACCGGCCAGGGCTGCGTTGCACTTTCAGATGAGGCCTGGTGGCCGTCACAGTGCCCACGACAACGGGAGGTGCGCTCACCCCGTGCTCACTCGTGCACTTGCACGAACGTTTCCCTGGCCCCCAGCCTAAACACGATCCTGTTAGTCTCTCATCACACCTGTCCTCTGCCGTCACGCCACTCACGAAAATTGTATTGATGAATGTGTGTGTGTGTCTGAATGTGTTGATGGGACACATCTCTCCCTGATGTATGCTCACGCGATCCCCTGACAGCAGAGACTGTCTGTGCTATTCACTAATAAGAACCTAGCATGAGGCACAATTTGGCATACAGTAGGCACTCATTAAAATGTTTCAAAGAAAGGTTGCAAAAAGCTGACACATCAGTTAAAAAAAATAAGTGAAACTTAAAATCAGGGCCAAGATGCTACAGCACCTGCCTCGGGCCTGTGAAAATCGAAAACTCTGACAAGTGTTGGTGAGCACCCGGGACTCCCGTGCCGCAGGAAGGAGTGTGGATGGAGATGCTGAAACCCAGTCCGACTGCCGCTGACAGCGAGGAGCGTGCCCCCTGCAGCCCAGCTCGTAATCCCACTCCTGGGGGGGCTTCCCAGAGGACCCGCCCACAGGTGCGCGGGAGATACGGACACGGCCACTTACGGTGGCGTCGTCCGGATTAGCACAAACAGCAGGCGGTTCAAACGTCCACCCACGGAGAGTGTGAGGTTTGTGCAGAGGCAGACGGCGGGAGACCACAGCAGTGAGGATGGAATAAAGCTCTACCTATAACAGGGGGACTCTATCCTACGCACAGACAGGATGAAAATGGGGGTTCGTCAACTCTGCAAACACACTACAGAAAGGAAACAAACAAACAAATATCAAGCAAGACGAGCCAGTCTGTATGGAAACATAATACAGAAACATACAAACACATCACCTGCAAAGTTTCCATCCATAAAAAGGAACTAAGTAAAAATATGAATTCATTCAAAACACTTGAAGACAAGATGATAAAACAACACAAAGAGCTCCGGCAGTTTGGCTCCGCGGTTAGAGCGTCAGCCCTCAGACCAATGAGTCACGGGTATGATTCCAGTCAAGGGCACGTACCTCGGTTTCGGTTTGTCCCCGGCCCTGGTCCGGTCGTGCGGGAGGTAACCATTCGATGTGGCTCTGTCACATAGATGTTTCTCTGTCTCTCTCTCTCCCTCCCTCCCACTCTGTCTGATAAGTAGAAAAGTATCCTCGGGTGTGGAATGAATGAATGAATGAATGAATGAATAAATAAATAAATAAATAAAGAGAGAAGAGAAGGGATATTTCAAAGCTAAGAGAACAGAAAACCAAAGTAATATTATACAAACAAATGAACAAATTAGAAACAGCAAGAACAGCGAAGCGACGAGGCTGAAATGAAAACAGGCGGAGGGACGGCCTGGAAGACGCTCCGAGAAGGCAGAGGAGAGAGGGTCAGAGCAGCTCCAGAGAGGGCCGGCCACAGGGCCACAGGACGGGCGGAGGGTCGACGTGAGGCCTGGGAGGACCACTGCAGGAGGAAGGGGAGAGGCAGAGGGCAGGGAGCGGGATGGAGGGAGGAGATCTCAGTGCTGAAACGAATCTGCACGTCGGAACACACTGTGCCCAGGAAACCCCGACGAAGTGCCCCAACCCCAGGCAGCTTAGTCTGCTTTATAATGTCAGGCTTCCAGGCAGGGGAAACAGCACCTTCGAGGAGGGGGCGGGGGGGGTCAACAGACCTGGGCAGCCTCTCAAGAACGCCCAGCACCCAGAGACGGGAAACTGCACGTTGAAGAAGAGAAAGGAGGGCGGAGCATCACACCCAGCCAGACTGCTCTAGCCCACGCAGGGGAGGTGGGTCCGCCAGGGACTGGCAACAGAAACAGCACCCATGGGCCTTTCCCAGGGATCTGAGCGCACAATGAAATCAGCCCACTGAAGAATCAGTCAGAACAAAGACCTCTGCAGGGAGGGAGAGTCCGCGGACAAGCAACGCGGAGGCGAGGCGCCTGGGAGCCGCGGCGGAAGGAAGCGCGAGCCCTAGGGACTCTACGAACAAAGCAGCCAGCGAACACTGTGAGGTGGGGTCAGGAAGGAACCCAGCAGGTGCTGGTCACTTTGGGTTTCAGAGCAGAGAGCCAGCCCCTTACTGTCTGCAATGGAGACGCCCTTCAAACACACCGCGTTCCCCAATTCTTCAGGGCTGTCGTAATCTCTTCCCTTGCCTTAGGGTCCCTCTGGGACCTAACGTCTCCTGCGGGGATGACAATCTATCCGAAGTTCAAAAACGTCTTCAGCGTCACTGGAGGACAGCACTGTGAGCAAGGACCGGGGCTTTCAACATGGCGCCAGTGCTTACTGGCAGGGTGACCTTGGGAAAGTCATTAGACCGCTTTGTGCCTCAGTTTCCCCAGCTTGAAAGGGGATGGTAGCCATGCCTGACGCATGGAGATGCTGGGAAGACTGAATGGGGGGCACCTGTGAGTTGCTCCCAGCATTGCCTGGCATGGAGGCAGCCCCAGAAATACTTAAATTAAATATGCCTTACTTGTAAAGAAGAAAAAAAAGCATAATCCTCTCCTTATAAAATTGTTTCTATGTATATATCCACCCACCCACCCACCCACCGACACAGCCATCCTCCTATGTCTGTGAATCAAGACAGGCCTAGAATTATGTTCACCAAATGTCGCCTTTAATTATTGCTGGATGGTAGATTTTGAATAACTTACTACTTCTTTATACTTTTCAGAATTGCTCACATTTTTTGTAATGGTCATGTGATTTGTTTTGTGTTTTAATTTTGTTTTGTTTTTTCCTTTATTGGTTTTAGAGAGAGAGGAAGTGAGAGGGAGAGAGATAGAAACATCGGTGAGAGAGAACATCGATTGGCCGCCTCCTGCACGCCCCGCACTGGGGATCGGGCCCACAACCTGGGCAATGTGCCCTGACCGGGAATCGAACTGGTGACCTCTCGGTTAAAAAGACTAAATTTCAGCCCTGGCCGGTTTGGCTCAGCGGTTAGAGTGTTGGCCTGCGGTCCTGAGAGACCCGGGTTCAGTTCCCGCTAAGGGCACGTACCTCGGTTGCAGTTTGTCCCCGGTCCTGGTTGGGTCGTGTGGGTGGCAGCCACTCGACATGTCCCTTTCACGTCGATGTTTCTCTCTCACTCTCTCTCCCTCCCACTCTATCTGAAGAAAAAATGGAAAAAATGTCCTCGGGTGATAAAAAAAAAAAAAAGACTAAATTTCATGATTAAAATTTTTTCACCCAGATAAGTCTGTTATCCATCTATTGTTTTATTTTATTTTATTTTTTTCATGTGTCCATTTCCAACTACTGTTCTAAGTCAGTCTGAACGCCCACTGCCAGCGCCGTACTGTCTTCCTCATGACACCTCTGTAAGCGCGGGAGATGTGGCAGGGAGCCCTCTACTGAACTTCCCCGAAAGAAATCTACATGTATATCTGCATTCAGATGTAGGGAGAGTCGGCATTAACATCGAATCTTCCAGTCCAAGGACTAGAACAGACCTCTTTATCTTCAAGTTTTCCTATATATTACTCAATAAAGTTGTTTTCTTTAATCCTCACCTGAGGATATGTTTTTATTGATTTTCAGAGAGAGAGAAACATCGATGTGAGAGAGAAACATGGATCCCATGAGCACCCTGACCGGGGATGGAACCTGAAACCCAGGTGTGTGCCCTGACCGGGAATCGAACCCACAACCTTCTGGTGTAGGGACAACACTCCAACCCACTGAGTCACCCAGCCAGGGCGATTATATCATGTTTTTATGTGTCTTAAGTATTTTTTAGGTAAGCAGCACAGAGGAGGTATTTATTCCATGTCTCGTCACCATTACTATAATCAATGCGTTGCTATTATTAGGAGATGGGGGAACTAGAGTTTGGGGGTGGAAGTAGGAGCAAAACTCATTTCAGAAATGATGTCTGTCCTTTCCTGCCCACAGGAGGTAGCCCTGGCATCAGGAACACATTCTCACCTCTTGGCAATAGGTCCTCCCCAGTTCGTCCAAGGAGCCGTCTTCCCAGGTCGCTTCGGATGAGCCCGAAGTGGGCAGGTAGCACCTTGCGGAGTTTCTGACTTGTTGATTCTCCCGTGAGACCTCTATTAAAGCAAAGGAGCTTGAGTTTATTAACACTGTCAAAGGCACATTTAAATATTTAATGTTTCCTTTTCATCATAAGCTGACTGGTAGAAATTGAGGCTCAAACAAAAACCATGATGAACTATGTAATAAATGGTGTCGAAGTAACTGGATAAACATTAAAAAAAAATCAAATTAATCTCCTTGCTATCTTATTCTAGGATAAACCTTAGATAGAGCACAACATACACTGAGTAGAATAATAAAACTGCACTAGTAGATGAAAATGAAGATGAATATTACGTAATACATAACATTTGTGTGAGAAGCCCTTTCTAAGAAATACTTTTGAGCCAGAAATCATTTAAATAATGACTGGGTCTGATGATATATTTTGTTTGGTGACAATAAAAAACCACATACACAAATAACAACGAAAGAAAAATGAGTGGGAAAACTATTGTTAATATACGTGAGAAATACGGGTTAATTTCCATAATATATGAGTAGCTCTTACAAATCAGTAAGATAAATATACTCAATAGAGCAATAAACTAAGGTTATAAACAGGTAATTCACATAAAAAGGACCCCAAAAAAATCCAACAAATGTATGAAAAACGGCTCAAACTCATTGGTGATTTTAAAAGTCTAATTAAAACAAGTTAACATTTTTTTCCACTTGTCATGTAGGCAAGGATTAGAGGGAATGATGAAGAAAGAGATCGGTTAGTTCCAGCCTTCGTGTAGAAAACCTGGTAGTGGAACAGTCTGAGTCCCCTTCTAGAACTCTGTAGTGACGGGGCAGAGGACCACTCAGCAGATGCACGTGGCGGAGGATGCTTTCTGCACTGCTCACGAGAGGGAAAACTGACACAATTTAAATGTGCATTAACAGAGGATTGCTTTTATGAATTACAGTTCATCCAGCCTATGAAATACTACACAGACACTAAAAACAAAAGTATCATCTAAATTAATGGATGTGGACATTATTCTTTCAAATATATTTTTTCAAGATTGAAAGGACTAGCATAATTTAATTTTCATTTTAACACTTATTTTGTGTATTTGGCTATGCATCCATCCATCCATCCATCCATCTATCCCGCCATCAATCATCCATCCATCCACTCATCCATCCATCCATCATCCATCCATTCATCCATCCATCCATCCATCCATCTACTCCACCATCCATCATCCACCCACCCACCAATCCATTCAACATCCATCCATCCATCCATCATCTATCCATCCATCCATCATCCATCCAACCATCCATCCATCATCTATCCATCCATCCATCATCCATCGATCCATCATCCATCTATCCACTCATCCATCCATCCACTCATCCATCCATCCATCCATCCATCCATCATCTATCCATCATCATCCATCCATCCATCCATCCATCCATCATCTATCCATCCATCCATCATCCATCGATCCATCATCCATCTATCCACTCATCCATCCATCCACTCATCCATCCATCCATCCACTCATCCATCCATCATCTATCCATCATCATCCATCCATCCATCCATCCATCCATCCATCATCCATCGATCCATCATCCATCTATCCACTCATCCATCCATCCACTCATCCACCCACCCACCAATCCATCCATCATCCATCCATCCATCCATCCATCCATTCATCATCCATCCATCCATCCACTCATCCATCCATGCATCCATGCATCAGAAACAAAATCTGGAAGGATAATATGCCAAAAAGAATACATGGAGGATTACAGAGACTGTTATTTTGTGTTTATGCATTTTCTGGGTTTTTTTTTTCCCAGCAAAAAGCATGTATTACTTTTATAATAAAATATAATGAAATAAATATAAAATATAGCCATTTTCTTTCTCAAAGCTGACTGCAAAGAATCACAAATGGTTTCCCAGATTTATTTCCTAAAATGTCTGCAAATAAGCTTCACTCAAATTAAGCACATTTGTAACTACTCAGCTGCAGTTACCAAACTGCCAGTATCTGGAATTCCATTTCCTCCTTCAAAGAGAAAGGAAGGCAGGAGGCAGGAAGAAGGCAGGAGGCAGGAAGGAGGCAGGAGGCAGGAAGGAGGCAGGAGGCAGGAAGAAGGCAGGAGGCAGGAAGGAGGCACGAAGGAGGCACGAAGGAGGCAGGAGGCAGGAAGAAGGCAGGAGGCAGGAAGGAGGCAGGAAGGAGGCAGGAGGCAGGAAGGAGGCAGGAGGCAGGAAGGAGGCACGAAGGAGGCAGGAAGGAGGCAGGAGGCAGGAAGGAGGCAGGAGGCAGGAAGGAGGCAGGAAGGAGGCAGGAGGCAGGAAGGCAGGAGGAAGGCAGGAGGCAGGAAGAAGGTAGGAAGGAGGCAGGAAGGAGGCAGGCAGGAGGCAGGAAGGCAGGAAGAAGGCAGGAAGGAGGCAGGAAGGAGGCAGGAAGAAGGCAGGAAGGAGGCAGGAAGGAGGCAGGAAGGCAGCAGGCAGAAAGGCAGGAAGGAGGCAGGAAGAAGGTAGGAAGGAAGTAGGAAGGAGGCAGGAAGAAGGTAGGAAGGAGGTAGGAAGGAGGCAGGAAGGAGGCAGGAAGGAGGCAGGAGGCAGGAAGGAGGCAGGAGGCAGGAAGGAGGCAGGAAGGAGGCAGGAGGCAGGAAGGAGGCAGGAGGCAGGAAGGAGGCAGGAAGGAGGCAGGAGGCAGGAAAGCAGAAAGAAGAGAAAAGCCCTCCCCCAGGGGACCGTCTGGCTACATAATAATAACATACATAGAATAAAATACAAAGAATATAAAGCCAGTCCTTCAGACTCAGGAATTCTGGGGCCCAGGGGCCGAGCATTTGAACCGGGGTCAGACCAGACACTGCCCAGCACATGGCGACGAGGGCGCCGGGCTGGAGCCAGGCTCCGGTCGGTCGGGCACACCTGCCGACACCGCGCCCTGGGCCCCGCACTCTGGCCCTGGTCCGCTCCCCACACCTCCCCCGGGGCTCCTCCCCTCGCAGTTAGGGTGTCACTCTTCTGTGCGCTGTCATTCCTGCCGCCTCCCCGGCGTCCCTCAGTTTCCTCTGAAGGGTTCCTGCTGATCTGAAATGGGGCAGAGAGGGGACCCGCGGCTTAGGGGCACTTCCGAGCATCTTAAGTGCAGGAAAGGAAACAGTCCCGCGTCATGTCTTCCTGCGCCCACACGGACGGTGCTGTGATAAGCAAGGTGGCGGGGCTCATAGAGAGCACAAGCTTACCGAAAACAGAAACACGAAGATCACCAGAAAACATGCTCTCTAGATGGGGAATCCACAGATACTGGGTTGCAGCCAATATCTGAACTGCAGGCCCCCTTGCACAGGCAAGGGACACCAGCAAACTGTACTCCGATCACTCATCATTCACAGATGGCAGAAAAGCAGACCTGAGAACGGGAACGGATACAAAGGGGTATGTGGACTCATGTCACTTATGAAGTGGGCTCTTGCAGCCAATGAAAATAGGTGACATAGTCTCTCTTCCAAAATCGCTAAGGGCATCAGTTAGAAAACAACTATCATCAAGACGCCAGGAAGCAGAATGGCGCTCTGGGAAGATCGGGAGCAGCACAGAAGTCCCCTGTCTGCCCACGGGCTTCGAGGCCGGCGGCAAGGGACGCACCTCCCTGAGGGAGCCCCGACGTCGGTTAAAATCCAGAAACACTGGATGGGGACCAAGGCGAGGGGCGCCGACTCCGGGGACAGACCACCTGGACTCGGTCACTGGCTCTGCAGCCTGCAGTTACCGGCCGTGCGCCTCGGTGCCCTTCGCCCCCGTCTGCGGGAGATGGAAATCCGTGCCCACGCCGCGCGGCCTCGGGCTAGGACGACAAGACAGCGAGGGTGCAGGCTTGGCACTCGGTGGACACACACAGAGTTAAGTACTTGAGAGAAGGAAACCTCAGCCCACGGCTTTACATCCAGACAAACCGATGTTTTAACTGCCAAGGCCACATACAAGCTGTCGTCACAAACGTGTAAGAAATCAGGGTATCATTTCCATGAGCACTTCCCAAGGAATGCACTAGAGAACAGGCCTGGAGCAGCCACAGTGACGGGAGAGACACGGGAACACGGAGAAGAGGGAGACAGCTGGTGCGGCTCAGGTTTGCTCTCTCCAAGCGGCGCCTGAGGCAAGCGGGGTCGTGAGCCGGGAGGACCAATCCGGAGTGACCGCGGGAGAGAGAAGGTGCACAGGCGGCCTTGGCCGTGGCTGACGCCCTGGGCACTGTCCGGATTCCTCGGCTTCTCGCAGCGTTAGGAAGGAGGGGACTCAAATTAGCCAACCGTGGTCCAGAGCAAATAATTTCCATTTGTAATAATATGGTGTACACCCAAAACTAGTACAATGTTTTAATTCAACTGTATCTCAATTAAAAATAAATTTTTGAAAAATAATAATTTCTATGATAATCCAACCCGGAAATGATATGCTGACACCACAGCTGCACTGCTGGGGCGTGGACTGCACACCGGGGGGTGGCGGTGGCACGAACAGCTGGGGCGACTCGCCCTTTCCCATTCTCGTCAGTAAGCAGGCCTCTGTTCTGACCTCCTCAGTGTAAGTTTTATTTATTTGTTTACTTATTTCTGTTTATCATCAGAGAGAGTGGGAGGGAGGGAGAGAGAGAGAGAAACATCGATGTGAGAGAGACACATCGACTCGTTGCCTCCTGTACAACCCTCACCAGGGCCAGGGACGAACCGCCACCAAGGTCCGTGCCCTTGGCCGGAATCGAACCTGTGACTCAATGATCCGAAGGCCGACGCGCTAACTGCTGAGCCAAACTGGCCAGGGCAGTGTAGAATTTTAATATGATGTGGCCCTTTGCCCCAAACTATGTCTTTCATTTACAGCACCCACAAAAAGATTCTGCCTTCTAACTGAAGGCTTTGGATTTCAATTATGAAAGTTATAAAAGAAGTCTTCAATGGGAACTCGGCATGAATAAGATTCTGTTTTAAGCTGATCCCTACGACTGGGTACAGAGGCAGGTTGGAAGAGGCCACGCTG